TGGGGGTTAGTTTGATCACTCATTCCTCATGTGAAAACTGCATTGCTGGGTGCCTCTTTGTTTATTAAATGAGGTTTTGGTGTGTTCTGTAACATATTCGTGACTCAGTTGATCAACAAGGTTGCATGTTTTTTTTTTTTTTAAGTTCTCTCTTCAGCTTTAAGAAGGTAAACAAAGTGGTTTATAAAGCAAGTTAATTAAAGCAAGAGGCATCGACTCTAACTCTGAAAATGTAAGAAATAAGATATTTTGGTTGCAACTTGCGTGTTTCTCCATTAATCTGTAGTGTGCAGAAGCATCAGATTAATAACTGTACTTCCTCAAAAGTCTACAACAAAAAGAAGCTATGAAACAAGTAAAAAACATTTTCAGAACACACTTGATTGCAGATTGTCAGGCTAAAACAAAAAAAAGTTTTTATTTTAATCTTTACATTTTGAGGAGATAACTAGTGTTAATGAACTACATTTGAGTCAGTGACTCATACCAGACTCAGAACATCACGATTAATCACATAAAAACCACAAAGAGACGGATAAAAAAAAAATAAAAATGGATCAAGACTGATGAGAAATGAGATGAAGCAGTCCAATGTTAAAAATCTGCTGCAAAGCTTACTGAGCAACTACAAATAAAGAAAAATGATTGATAAAGAGAAAGAAAACAAAACTGATAGAAAATATACTCACCGAGGACGAAGCAGCAGATCAAAGTGTGACAAACGTTCATGTTGGAGGCTCTGATGGTTTAAGGTTGCCGCTTTTTCTTCTTCACAGGCAAACCAGGAACTTCTCTCTTTTTTAAATGACTGAGTCCCTCCTCCAAACGTCACACACTAAACTCTCCTCCCCTCTGTATTAATAAAGTTCAAATATACAGGTTAAACAGTACAGTAAATTACTTCTGTTCTAATACATTCTTTTACCAAAGTTATTTTCTGTCTCTTCAAAGAGATGCTGTTTGTATGTGAACAATCAGGCTGGGGAATAAAGTGACGGGAGGTTTGTAATATTATTGAATATTTAAGTTAAGAATATTGAATCAATATATTCCCGGTGTGGAAATATTTAGTGTTTGGCATCAAAGGATCAGGAATTTAAAACTTTACAGACCATTGTTCTCATAATTACTACACTCATAACTGAAATAAGGCAACTAAGGTAAAAAACAAATTGGTATTAATACAGTATCTAACTGCAATAAAAGATTTACATTTTTGCAGATGCAATAAACACGAATACCTTATACAAATCCCTCACCTTCACTGTTAACATTAAAAAAAGTAACTTTTTCCCACTATTTAAAAACTTTGTCACTGACTGACAATTTGTCACCAACAACATAGCATGTTAGCTATAACTGACATAGTTTACTGTTAATGTCACCAAAACAAAGTTATTCAAAATAACTTCACTGAAAAAAAAAAAAAAAAAAACGCATCCAGTGAAGCTTGTTTCCCAAAGTGTGACTGCTAAATGGCTATCAGTGCAGATGAAGGGAAACATTTTAGTGCCCGTGTATACTTGTACCTGAGCAAATGGCAAATAATGTCCTGAAAACTTTAAAATAAATTGCATGACATCAAAAAAAAATAAAAAGAGAAGACCCAGTGGTTAAAGCTGATAACATAAAGCAGCTTCATGTTAAGAATGAGTTTATATCCGACGCTGTTTGGCGAACACAGAACGTCACTGAGGGCTTTGAGCTGAGCTGCCGCTAACGTTTGTTTAGCTTGTTTTAACTGATAACTTAAACTAAAATCTAAGGACTAAAATCCAGTGGCTAGGTTTGCAAATTGTTGGAAACATTTGGTATGAAGTAAGTAGTTCTTTTTAAAGGAAACAACCTGCCATTTGCGCCAAGCGGCACCTACTTTATGGTGACAAAACAATGGCTGTCTCTTCCTGCTTCACTACATTTAATTTTTCCTTTATTGGTTTTTCTGCAAAGAGCCTCCAGCCAGTGTGTACACAATGTACCAAAACTGAGAAGTCATCCACGCATCTCTACTTCATTCACACATCAAAATGTTCAACTACAAAATGTTTTCACACATTCAGATATACTGATACACGAAGACAATAAATTTGACCCCATTTATTCCATACATCACAGTGGTGTTGAGAAAAGCAGCTGTACCGCTGGAGACATCCATTTGAGAGGTGAGGTTACTTCAGTTCTCTTCAGTCTGAAAGAAACACATTTAAGACAGTTTGAGGACTTCCTCCTCAAAACTATGCAAGTTTATTATCACGAACTGACCTGATTCCTGTTTCAAGTTTGTTAAAGGCCACAATCCACTGCAAAATAAAGTTGTAAGTTATTTTAGTAATTTCATTATAATGATACCGTTGAACCCAACGCAACATGCAGTTCAGAAGATTAGGTCAACTGTGAAAATACCTGGCTGAGTCAAAGAGACACATTTTGCTTTCAAGCAAAAAGTTCCAATAATTAAAAGGAACTAAACTAGAAACTAAAAGTCCCTTTGTGTTCCCACCACATCTGAAGAGCTGTAAAGTTTAGACAAACGTTTTCCCAGTAAATAAACTTTACCTTTCAAAGTTTATTTGGGAGAATATCTGCTTTACAGTTTCTTGAGTGAGAGAAAGTTTTTAGATGTCCACTGTCCTTTGTCATGCGTGTGTGTTTCCTGTAGCCTCACCTTTCGCTTTACTGGTCCTCTTCTTGTAGAATATCAGCAAAGCCGATAATGAAATGATGATCAGGACGACCAGGATCAAACGCACATACAGCTGCACGCCTGTGGCTGTTTGAGCAGGAGAACACGTTTGTTCTACACTGACACTTCCTGGTTCAGTTCAGGCAGTGTTGTCAAACTAATATTATAACTATATAAACTGAACAAAATTATAAATGCAACACTTTTGGTTTTGCCCCATTCATCAAATAGACTTTCTCTCTGTACACAAAATGTCTTGTGAGCACTTCTCCTTTGCAGAGATCCCTCCATCTCACAGGTGTGGCATATCAAGGTGCTGATCAGGCAGCATGGGTATTGCACAGGTGTGCCTTAGGCTGGCCACAATGAAAGGCCACTTGAAAATGTGCTTACATTACAGGGAGGGAAAGAGCGCTAAACTTTTATACACAAGTAAAAGCACTGTTATGTTGATATATGAACATATTGTTAAATTAAAGAGAACCTTTAGGCTACATAATAAATTGGTCTAAATGCCAATATACACATTAACAGAATAAGACCAGCTTCTTTTCTGCTGCAGCTGCTGATCTTGCGACCATCTTCTGCTCCAGAGACACAGATTATCATGTGACTTTTCTTACTAACGGATGAGTCTGTGTTGTTGCCAGTGTCTAATGGGACTGATTTTGAAAAAGGAATAAATTACAAAGTAATTTTATTAATAAGAAAATAAGCAAAACCAATATGCGGGAAGAATCTGTAGTACTGAAGTCAGTAGGAAAAAAAAACGGGGTCCCACCGGAACCCTGGCAGAAAACAAGCACCAATTTAACCTAAACCTTAATACTAAAAAACTGTTACCACTTCCCATTGGTCACTCTGCACCGCCCTCAACGCATGGAGAAGCAACTTTAAGAGCTTGCAGGGAAGCTAAGAGGAAATGGAAGACCAACAGGTTGGAAACAGAACAAAAACAAAACACATTAAGAGCATGGGGCTCTAAACCCAACACCAGACCCCAAATACTAGTGCACAGCTTTTCCAACAAAGCCGTGTACATAACAAGGCTTCACAATAGCCTGTGTAAGCAGTGTTTTATTTTGTTCTTGGAGAAATCTTGCGACATTCAGACTTAGCAGTGTTTCAATTTCTTGTGAGGCTTACAGAACTCAGATGTTCATGCTGCACTGGTTGTAGACCACTCACCACCAGTAGCTGTGGATACCATGGGGTATCACAGTCCAGCATCAATTTATGCAAGGGACCTGGGAACACCTGCAAACCCATACCACGGACAGAGACAAAATCCCCCTTATCACTTTCCCAATGGCAATGTTGAGGCCAAAACAAATGAATCCAAGGAACCACTATCCCTCAAAATCTTAACTGGCACCTTTATAGAACTGCCCATCAATGACACAAAGCCATTTGACACAGATGGTAGGTAATCTGAAAGCTTAGCCTTCACATATACCTGGCCACAAGACAAAGCAGAAACTGGCACAGTTCGAATGGACGCAGCCAGAGCAGTAGATTTCACATGCACATTACACTTAACCTTAGCTCGTATAGCAGGACAATGAACTTTCCAGTGCTCTTTTTCCTTACAGTAGTTACACACATCAGCATCAGACTGTTCTCCCGACAACTGTTCGGACCTACCAGTCCAGTCATCATCAGTATCACAGGCACGGGACTCAAACGCAACTTTGTGTGTCAAAACATACTCGTCAGCAGCAGCGCAGCAGCCTCTGCAACCGTTTTAACCTTCCTCTCATTAATGTAGGTGGCAACACTGCTTGGCAGAGACATTTTAAACTGTTCCAAAATCATTAAATTGCACAAGTAATCAAATGTCTTTCAAGAGCCATACACCGCCGATTAAAGTGAGTTACCAACTTCCTGGCAAACTCCATGGGCGTCTGCTTACCTGACTTTTCCCAAGTTCTGAACCTTTGTCTGTAAGCTTCAGGTACAAACTCAAAACAGCTTGAACAGCTTTCAAAACAGCAGCTTTAGCGAAGAATAACTTCGGTTTTCATCAGTAAGCTTCTTGAGCCTTACTGGTTAAAACACATTGCTACGCTCTGAATCAGGCCATTTCCTTCTGTCTGCTACACGCTCAAACAATGAAAAGTTAAATGTCAGGATGTCAAACAGCTTCATGATCAATTTGTTGAAGAAAAAAAGACTCAACGTGTGATCGAACATGCAACTTTCTAGGTGATAGTAGGTGAGAATATAAGACAAGATATATTATTTAAGTAGACTGATGGGGTGGTTGGTTAGCTCACACACAAGGTTAACAGATGAAAAAATAGTTCCAATGCAAATCTTAGTTATTTATGGTTTATTTATTTGGGACCGATACATCTAACATAGATAAAACTGAAAACAGCAATCCTATGTGTGCACCATAGTGTTTTCAGCAGTTGCTAATTTGGAACAGCTGTCCCTAGAAAGGCTTTTAAAGAAATAAAACATTAAAACAGTGATGAAAAAGAAAGAGAAAAAAGTATAATACAATACATTACAGCATAACACAAGATAAAAGGAGGTAAAATGAGTAAATCAAAATGCAATGAAAAACATGTATCACTAACTACAATAGACTAGGCGAGAGTACAAGTGTGTGGGTGAACCAATCAGGACTTGGCCTCTCTTTTAAAAGTGGTGAAGTTTGAAGCAGTTTAAGTGTTTAGGTAGCAAGTTCCAACACTTTGCTCCTTTCACAGAAAAGGCCATCTGAGCAAAAGAAGTTTTGCAAAATGAAACTACAACCCACCCCTGCTGTATATTTTTACTACTACTTCTTCTTCTTTGAACATACGTATTCAATGTAGTGATCAGTGTCTGCATTTCCAGAATTCTACAAGAAGAAGAACGTAATGACGAAACGCGCTTTGTAGCGCTGTTTGTTCGTTTTGGCCAAGAAACACAGCAGTGCAAGATGGCGATGTCCATTTCAGGGGGGACCCGCGGTTATGTAGATAAAAATGGCTCATTCGTTTCATTATGTAAGGCCTGGAAACATAGTTATGGATGTAATATTGCATTTCTGTCACTAGATCCTCAGAAATATTACACACTGGACCTTTGACAGTAACTTGTTCTTTACAAACGATTTACTTAACCAAAATATTTAAGATAAGCTGAACTAAATAAAGCAGTAAAAGTAGCTCTAATTTGAATTTTTATTGTATTGTGTGTTCACCTGTTGGCCTACATGGAGCTATTGCTGATGTAAAATAACAGCAGAGTACAGAGGAGGAGGAGAAGCGTCTTCAGCATGGCTGCCATCCGAGCTAGCTTCTACCTGAGGCACAGAGTAGACGACATTATCTGCATGACCACAGCGGGCGCTGTTGAGCAAGGCAGCTGTACCATTGGAAAAATCCACCTGAAAATAGGTGAGTTTATTCGAGTCATCTTCAGTCTGGAAGAAAACAAAGGGATGTGAAGGATTGTTCTAGTTTTAATAGCAATTTAAAGCTTTTATTTTCTTTTGAGGCACTGTAGATTATGTTTCTATACTTACTGTCTTCTTAGAACTTGCCGCAGTGACAAAGCTATAGTCGTCTGTGGTCTCAACTCCATTTGGTTTGGCATATTTGCCACAAGTGTAAACCTCGTCTGTCCTCCTCTCTGATCTCCTCAGATACTCCGTCAGGCTGCAGGAAGAGAAGAGGGGTTTGGTTTTTAGCTGGTTTCACAAACACTAATGATGCAGAGATGTCCCAAATTTACTCAAACTCACTTTTGTGACAGTAGTATACTCAGATTCCACAGGAGGTTCTGAAAAACATACAGTTCAGAAGATTAAACCCATTAAAGAAAAACATAAAGCCCTTTAACCAAAATGTTCCAGTACAGGAACTAAAAGAGGAACGAAAAGTCCCTTTTGTGCTTCCCTGTATTCAATTTTCATACTTAAAGGTCCAGTGTGTAATATTTCTGAGGATTTATTGACAGCAATGCAATATAAGATCCATAAATATGTTTTCGGTGGTGTATAAGACCTTACATAATGAACCATTATGTTGTAAATTACCTTACAATGAGCCATTTCTATCTACATAACTGCAGGTCTCTCTTACATGGAGGTCGCCATGTTGCATCGCCATGTTTCTACAGTATCCAGAAACTGACAAACTGCTCTAGAGAGAGTATTTAGTCATTACTCTGCGTTTTGCCACTACGTTGTTCTTCTTGTGTAATTGCAGCAGTGAAGACTCCCGTCACTATGTTGAATAGTACAAAGAAAAAGAAGAGGAAATAATAATTATAAACAGTCTCTGAGGAGTTATCTGGTTTATTAGAAGTAAGAAGAGAAGTGAACAAATGGAGGAGCACACATTATTTAGCCGAGCGTGTGGATCTTCGTTGTTAAAGAAACGAAAATATGATGAAGCCGAATGAAGTTGGGACAGATACAGAGACAGATGATGGCAGAAATCACGGACATATTCGTTATGGATTTTCCCAGATGGAAGGAGCTGACACGCGACAAATGTTTTCAAAGCGGCTCCGGAGTTGCGTGTTTGCTGCTAGACAGGTAATTAATCCTATTTGTACTTCCTTACTTTTTACCACTGGTTTTGTTCCTGTAACATCTGAAGAACCATGAAGATTACGCAAATTAGACAAATGACAGATTTAAAAGTTATTTCACTTTCACATAAGGAAACAACAGGGAAAGAAAAGCAATTACTGTTGTGCGACTGATGTTTGTAATTTAATGAATGAAAGAAAGAGAGACTACTCCTACTGTACATTAACTTCCTCAAAAAAAAAAAAACAGTTACCATCTGGTCTCATGTTTGGCTGACAGCATGTTGCGTGTCACAAAACTAGCTAGCCTCTTGTGCTGCAGCAGCAACAAGGAAAGGATTCTCGCTCTGCCAGTTTCTGTTTTGAATGAACCTATTGCAAATCAAATTTCCACCTGGTTTTATTCATGTGAAGTTGGCAGCTGGCAGTTTGTGCAGTTCACTTGTAGGAGCCAAATCATTAGTTAGGATTTATTCCTTAATGGATATATTTGCCATTTTGTTTGTGTGTGATGTGTGTTTTAATGGCTTTTGAGTACATGTGTAACTCCTGCAGGTCAGAGGAAAGGTGCTGCAGCCTAGTGGTGTGGTTTTTCTTGTCCAGTTGCTTTTCTAATGTGTGTGTTTTCTGTAGTCTCACCTTTGGGTTTACTGGGCCTCTTCCTGCAGAATATCAGTACAGCTGCTGATAATATGATGATCATGACGACCACACTCAGACCCACATACAGCAGCGCACCTGTGGCTGTTTGAGCAGTAGAACATGTTGGTTTTACACTGACACATCCTGACTCCTTACAAAACATATCTGGGTGCATAACTCGACTCCCAGAAACATGTGGGACCTGTGTTTTTGCAGTGTTGTCAAACTAAAAGTAAAATCAACTAAATAAATCCATAAATTATAACAACAAATCCTGAAGATACTTTTGACAAGAAAGAAAAAACAGTAATGCTTTTTCTAGAAAAAAGTTTTAGTGCTTCCGAAACACTTTCTGAATGATGTAAACATACCTGGACCTGCAGCTGGTGTTGTCTGTTGCTGCTGAGTCTGCTTGCTGGCTTCAGAAGAGGCTGATGAAGGTTTTGAGCTTCCTAAACTGGAGCTTAAAGTCTGTTTTGTCATCCCTTTGGAGGCTGATGGGACTGAAGGTTGGAGAGTGGAGTTTGGTTTAGAGGCGATTGGTGCTGTGAAACACGAAGAACACAATGAAACAATCAGATCCTGTTCAAAGGGAATGACAAAAACAGTTTCAGTGGATCTGAAACTATTTTTGAATGGACAGATGGTTGGAGAGTCGAGTTTGATTTAGAAGTGGTTGGAGATGTGAAACACGAAGAACACAATGACACAATCCTACACAATCAAAAGGCACTTGGAACCTGGAGGAAACTCCAACAGGAACAGGTCTGGCAGAGCCAAAGCCACAACAGAATTAGAAGACAAGTCTCTGACAGTTTGCATGATAGGTGACTTACAGGACAACAGTTTCAAGCACAGCTTAACACTGGTTGAAGTAAGGAAGTCTCTGTTTCAACTGTGAAGATTTCAAGCTGCAGGTTTGACAGGTCAAGTGGCAGTAAGAGCACCATTACTAAAGGAGGCTCAATAAGAAAAGAGGCTTGAAGACCCCTGAAGACTGGAATAAGGTCTTACAGACCAATTAATCAAATTTTGAAATCTTTAGTTCATCGTGGAGGGTTTTTGTTTTTCGTTAAGTAGATGAAAGGAAGGTTCCACCAGGTGTCAAACATGGACGAGGAAGCGTGATGGTCTGGGGCTCTTTAGCTGGATCTAGAGTCTGCAACTTGCACAGAGTGACTGTCACCCTGAACCAAAAGGGCTACCTTTTTACAACATTTTCAATCACACTGTAAAACCATTTTAAAACTTGGTCACCAACTGACAGTTTTACACCTGGAACATTTAATGCACAATGACAGAGTTCACTGTTAATTTCACCAAAATAAATTTGATAACAGTTATTAAAACTTTAGTTTATTGAAATGATAAAAACTCACCTAAGCATCCTGGTGTCAACTGATGCAGAGTAGATTTTTATACCTGTGAACAGTTTTCATTCAGAAGTAATTTGTACATGCCACGATTACCATTTCCATTAAGGATTGAGTACAAATTGATCATTTATGTATAACTGGTGATGTAGATCTCCATACTTGTGAACGCCTGATTTTTAGCAGCTTGCAAGTTATGGTAAAGTTAACGTTACCAGTGTGAACATTACGTTTGCACAAAGACATGTTTGCCAGATTGTTAATTTAGTTAAAAAAAACCAAAGCCAAAATTAACAGCTGTCAGTGTCCTGATTTCCTTGTCAAACTAAGACAGTAACAAACATTTGCTTGCTGTTTTTGAGACATTCATCTTGATAAAGACTTAACTTCCTGTTTCACCACATCACTTTTTTGGCTTTCACAGTTTGTTCTTCATTTGCCTGATATTCAAATACTCACCAACATTCAATCTGCCTTTTTCTTTTTTATTCATGTCACAGTTCCAAACTTCGCTTCGCTTCATGGCTAACAATTAAATAACTGTAATCAGTGTTGATACTTTTGGTTAGCTGATTTCTGTTTGCGACGGGGAAGGATTTGTTTTGTTATGACCAATCAGTCAAGTTACATATCCTTTGCACTATGCTCCATCGCAATGTGCAGATGTGTACATGTATGTGCACCTGGATATCACATCCCCCTCTGACATGTACATAATAATAATAATAATAATAATTCACTCCGCTCTGCTCATTGCACTATTAGTCAATCTGTCTGTATTGTTTTTTTTTATAGTGTGTATATATGTGTTCTCTATACTGTAGCCTGTGTCTGATTTTATTATTGTGTTATTGTATCATTGTATGAGTAAACACTGGCAAATAAAGCTGATTCTGAAAACACGGAACGGCATGCATTACAAGACAGACCCGAGGCAAGACAGAGAGCACAGAATGAAAAGAGTCAGGGACAATAAACTAAAACAGAATTTATCAAAATTATAGCTGAACCATAAAAATCTATGGAAATATTGTTTGTTATTTTGGATGCAGCAGTCATTGCCACTTTGTTCACACCACACGTAGTGATACAGATGAAAAAACTTGGTGGACCTGTTTGCAATGTCTTGCACCAACTAATGATGACTACGTTCAACCAGAAAGACTTTTTTTAAGGCTTCATTCATTCACAACTCACTCTCCCTCTTCCTGCCTCTCTAATCAGCTGACCATGAGCATTCAATCATTAGTTTACCATTCAGCGTTTGCCACAATCTCCATCAGCCAATCCTGTTGTTGCTGTCATCCTTTAAATCTGTTCTCCTCTCTGCTGCTGTCAGCTGTCTTTTCAGTACAAAATCACTGCAGCCCTCCTCCACCCTACTCACCTCTGCTGCTCATTAGATCCAGGCCCAGGTCGAGCTCTGCAGAAGTCCACTCATCACATCCTGATCTTCAGCACTCTCTTCATCCCTTCATCATCACTACCAGTGGCTAGACTCCATCGGGGCAGGTTTCAATACCACTACGGCATCACCACCCCCGTGAAATACTACAATGGGGCCTAATTGCCAAAGACTGAGGTGAGGTGGATAGATTATCTCGGCACAGATTTTGACAGATTTGTGAACAATATTTGAGAGAAATAAACCTTTTGTGTACATAGAAAAAAGTCTTAGATCTTTGAGTTCAGCTCATGATGAATGGGGGAAAAACATGCAACAGCAAGTGTTTCTTGAGATTTTTATTACTCATTCATTAATGTAAAAGCAGGATATTACTTTTGCAGTTGGTTGAGGTTGAACTATTTTGTATCAGACTGCAATAAATTATTTTTTTCATTATGGATTAATCTATTTTCTCCATTTATTGATTGCAAAAATATTTTTTAAGTTAGCGAGAAATGTCACAATTTGCGAGAGCCCAAAGTGAAACCTTCACAAAGTTTATCAGTCTAAACCTCAGCAAATCTTCACATTTGTAAAGCTGGAACCATAAAATGTTTTTACATGAAAAATGACAAACAATTATCAAAATAGTTGCCAATTAAATTTCTTTGTCAATAAACTAATGTACTAGCTGTACTTACACCATTTTAATATTTTAATTTATAACATTTGTAAAGTAACTAGTAACTGAAGCTGTCAGATAAATGTAGTGAAGTAGAAAGTACAATATTTCGAATATATATTATATATATATATTTAGAATCTATGTTTCAGCCACAAAATTATGACTCAAGTTTCTGTTTATTGTGGCAGCGACCTCTAGTGGCCATACGCAAACACATGACTCACCATTTTTATCAGTATTATTACATTTAC